CTGGCATCAGTGGAATGATTTTGGGTTCACACAGGATTTATATTGAGGAATTTGGCCGGGTGTATGCTCTTTGGGAGGCCCTTGACTCTGGCAGTTTGCTGACCTTCAGGCCTTGCAGCAGGCTTTGTTTGCTCAGGCTTTTCCTGAGTAAGTAGTCTGACTGGGTCCAGGGTGTGTGTTGTTTTTTTTCTCTTCTTTTTGGCTTGGAGTTCTCTTTTGAGGAATTAGCTGAATGAACTTAGTTACATTCATATTTGACTTTTTAAACTATGATGAATGTACCTAGATACTGATGGGCGCATGTCTTACAAATCTAAAATTAGAAAAAAAACAAAAAACACCCTAGTACACCATTTGGAAATAGGATGTTCTTTTTTAAGAGACTTACAAAAAAATGTGCCTGAGTTGCCAGACTCTGATATCATATCTCATTCTTATGTATGAGTTATGACCATAACTCCCCACACACTGAGAGGATAATAGACCCCATTGAGAATACAATCACATCAGTTTCAGAACACTAGTCAGAGCCCTTTTTTTTTTTTTTTTTTAAGTCACTTTAATGATCCAGAGATTTCACCAGAGTTGTCTACAAACGTCTTACACGGGTACTAAATGGAAGTGACTGAAAGGAAATCTATTTTAGTCAGTCAGTATCCACTTTGAGCCTTATTTATTTTTCAACTCCTAGATTCCCGTATCTGTAAATCTATTTTTTTATGTTAATAGTACATAGACAAAGTAATTTTACTATAAATACATACATCAAGGAATTCAACTTCCATTTGTAGTTACATAGATTTTTCTGGGGCTAACTTCCTCCGGCTCATTTTTATGAATATCACCATTGTCTCCAAAGTGTGGTACAAACTGCATATTTACATTTTTGACTGTTAATATGCTGTTCTTGCATAGTTATAATGAAATCCTTTGAGTTCTCTCTAAAATGGCAGGAGTTGGCTGATATAAAGTGCAAACTGTTGTAATATGGAGCCTACAGATTTTTCAGAGTTACACTGGATTCATGGACTCAAACAATAGCATGAAAAAATGAGTGAAAACAATGTTATCGACTGAATAAAAGCTATAGAAAGGGGGAAAAGGCAGAGAGGAAAGATCATTCACTTTTATTTTGTGCAATATATGTTGCAAATTTCACTGTGGTGTGTGTAATATATGCATGTAGTATTACACACATACTCAATGTCAAGCATAACAGTAAGGTTTGTAGCATTCTTCACATTAAGATTAGATTATTTTAGGGTACTAAGGAGTTCCAGGTGTCCTAAAGGTCATCTTACATTGGTTTTACTTATGGATATGCCCATGATGGCACTATTTAGAAATTCAATAAGAATGAAAAAATTATTTTGTGAAACTTGAGTCCCAAATTATAACTAAATTTTCTGCTTGGAAGTAGTTTATGTTCTGAGCATGAGTGTCAGTTCTCTTTCAACAAAAAAAATTCTGAAAAGCAAAGTCTATATATGTCATATTCAAAGCATTGAACTAGCACGTGGGGATGTGACAGTGAAGTGTTATTCTGTTATCTTTCTTCAAGCAGATAAAAATAAATACAGAAATAAAAATACTTAAAAATCCTAAGATTTTGGCCAAATGTTTTGTTACCATTTTACTCTTCAGAGTAACATAAATATCCACTGTGTGTACAAATTGATAACCTGCTCTCTTGTTCTCAATACATTTGTATGCAATCAAGGAAAACTGACATTTTAATCAAGCTTTCCCCAGGGCACTGTAACTTGTCTAGCAAGGAGGAGAAAAAATACATCACTGCATTTTGAAATGTTGAATTGGGAGACTTAGAGTGAGAAAATAATCCCTGAAAACACACGTTAATACTTCAGTGTAACACTTGAAACAAAAATCAGTAATAGTGTGCATATGGAAAAAGCTAGCTAGCATTTTTAAAAGTGGCTTCTAAATTATTGTTCAGTATTTCAGCGATAGCCACTACTGGTTATGGTTTCTTGAAAATACTATCTTTTGGGTGACAGCTATACTTATTGATCGTTATCTTAATGCCAGGTTATCCTTCCCACTGTACTTGGATTCATTCTTCCTCCTCAGGAGACACCCTGCTCTTTGTCTGAGCAGTTGGTTATTGCCAATTAAGTTGTGTATATCAAACATTTTCAATATTTACATGAATAAATAAAAATCTCTTGAGTATGAAAATAATAGTGGAAACTTAAAATTATAATGAATGCTAAAATCTATTTTTGCAACAATTTTGAAATGTCATAGCTTTCATATACTAAGTTGAGTCAACAGAAAAAGGAACATGTGTTCAAGAATGCAAATGCTTCTCACTAAAGCATCAGAACTGTTTAATTTTTTTAAATGTTTTTTAAACATGGGATACCATTTATAAATCATAACCACTATTGCTCCCAGGAGAGCATCTGCAAGCATATTGCTCCCAGGAGAGCATCTGCAAGCATATTGCCCTTGCACTATCAAGTTGATTATATTTATAGAGAGACAAAAGTATGGTTAATAATTATTAATAGTTTAGCTATTGTCTGACCAAATTATCGTGCTTGGCATTGTATCCTCTGACAAACCCATCTTTGGTGGATTGTCAGAGGAAGCAGTTTCCACAAAAAGTGAGGGCCATCTGCTGATAAAGTTCTGGAAAGTACATTGTAAGGAACTCTGACAGAGCTGCTCCATTAAACTTTACTACTGGGACAGAGTGTAGACTGATAGGTCAAGGTAGTTGTTTGTATATCTTAAAGGTTTTATTTTATACTCCAGGGGGAATTTAGCACCAAAAAATTAAAAATTCTGCACTGAATATTTTAAAATTCTGCATATTTTATTTGTCAAAATAACAATATAATCATGTATCAGGGGGTAGCCGTGTTAGTCTGTATCTACAAAAACAACAAGGAGTCTGGTGGCACCTTAAAGACTAACAGATTTATTTGGGCATAAGCACTCTATGCATCCGAAGAAGTGAGGTTTTTACCCACGAAAGCTTATGCCCAAATAAATCTGTTAGTCTTTAAGGTGCCACCAGACTCCTCAATATAATCATGCGAGTTTCAATTATTTTGATAATTTACTTCAGAATACCTGTCAGCAAGTATGTCTGTAACAATACATACAACAAAAAAGATCCAGGAAATGTGTTTTTGACAAATAGACATATTAATAAAGAATTTTGGATAATAATTCATTTAAAGTACAATACATAAACATATTTCTGCCCCCCTCAGAAGCAGTGCAAAGGCATTGGAGAGTCAGGGGTAACAGACAACTTGAGTGAGAGGGAAGTAATTGCTGGGAAGGAGTGTGGGAATGAACTTGGAGGGTTATTGGGTGTGGGTGAGAGAAGTATGGAACAAGTTTTTATTTGTGGGGGAGGGATTGTTAAGGAGCTTCCCCCATGCAGACCCTGGCTGACCCCTAGACTCTCTGTCAGGCACATATGCCCCTGTCCCCATGTGTCCCTGCACCCCCTTCCCCTGTCCTCATGTGGCCCTGCACCTCCACTCCCATTCAGCCCCCCACCCCAGTCTGTCCCCCACTAGCCTTTCTGAACCCCAGTCTGTGATTTTTCCCCCCCCCCCAGCAGCCCAGTGTGCCCCACGCTGTCCATCCCCTCATGTCCTGTGCCTCCTGACCTGGCCCCTCGGGCAGGGCACTGTGAGGAATGCAGCCTCTTCTCTTCCCTATCTGCAGCTGGGGCTGCTCCTGCCTGGGAGCAGCTGCTCTCTATTCTAGTGCCACAGCAGACCCTGGTGAGCAAAAAGCATAACTGCAGCATCTTTCCAGCAGAATGTATTTTCTGCAGAGAAAAAAAAATTCTGTGCAGCACATGAATTCTGCGGATGTATGGATTCTGCGCTTATGCAGTGGCTCAGAATTCCTCCAGGAGTCAAAATTTTAAATATTAAAAGAAAATGAAGGATCTGTGTATGTTGTTTCTTTTTAGTTGGTTTAATTTAGTTGGTTCTTTGGATTTAACCAGGGTCTTCAAATTCCTGCAACAAATTGTGATGTAAACTTTTTTTGGTATATTTACCGCTTAAAAAGATTCATTAAAAATGTAGTGTTGGACAACACAGGGGTATGTCTACACTACAGTGTAAGCCTAACGTTTGAACTCAGGCTTAAGCCTAATTCCCTTCTGTCCACACACAAATCGTGCTGAACCAGGGTCCCAGGACCCCACAAGAGTGGAGAGTTTGAGCCTGAGTCAAGTCAGGATCCATGATTCGTGGCTTACTGCTTTTCAGGTAGACACCGCCCCACTGGACTCATGCTCTGGGAATCCTCCAAAAGTATCCCACACTCCCAGGCTGACTTTCTTTGTCCTCTGGACAGTCAAGTTTGGTGGACAGTCACGTTTTCCCATGCTGCATCATGAAGAAAGGGCTAGAGTGGCCACATTTTGGAAGGGCTCTAGAAAGTCTGGGATGGGTGGTTGGACTTGGATCTGCATAATGCAACGTAAATGCTGGAGCCCTAGGTTGGGATCTAGGGTTCAACAGTTCCTGGCTGGGGGTTGCAAATTATTGTAGACGCTCAAGCCCGAGGTTAACAAAGCCAGGGGTCTGCTATTTCGAGTTCTGACAACACTGGGCTTACGTAGCAGTGAAGACATGCCCACAGTGGTTAAAACCTGCAGGGCCCTGTCCATGCTACAGCTCTCCACTGTGGCTGCCAGTGCTGGAGTTGCACCAGTGTTGAACTGCAAGTCCTACGCTTGGCAGTTTTGATAAATCCATTAAGTGTGAGATGAGTCATGAGGAAATATGCAATAGTTCTGGATTTAATTTGATTTTATTAAATTGTTACATTTCTTTAAAAAAAAAAATTAATGTAAATGGCCCTCTCCCGTTTTGATCAGATGTATTGTTGACAGCTTACCGCAAGATAAATGCACCAGGATACAGTAGGAGTTAAAATCTTAACAAAACCTCTCATTGTTCTATAACCTTTTTAACTTTTTTCCCTTCCCCTGACAGGAAATGACCTAGAGGCCTTACAAATACATTTGTGCATTCTTGCTGCAGACTCTACAATTGAAGGCAAACTCAATCTGGAAGCACCACTTATTAATGTTACATTGGAAACAACTACCTCATCATACAGAAGAAAAAGAGAAGGCTTGCAATAATAAACACTCTAGTTTTTAATAACTTGCAAAGTCTTCAGAAAACAAAACAGATTTTTTTTTTTCAGTATTAAGAAGAGACACTACAAACAAACTGATTTGACAGACTGGATCTGTCAAGACATGGAAGATATTTGATCTGCTGACATAAGGACTTTGTTTTTCAAGGAAAGAGTCTCTGCACTGCTTTTACAATCGCTGTTGATCAGTGGTTTTGTTCCACTTTTTTGGTATTACTAGTTGGAGAGCTCCGTTAAGGTATTACTCCTAAAAGGTGATTTAAGTTTTATGAACTTTAACATCAGGTGTCAACAAGTGCTGGCAAGGAAATTATAGGAGTTAATTTCTTCCCTTCATAGTGCATCTTATGTACAGAGTGGGAATACTCAATGAGAGAAATTTTTTTGTTTTGTTTTGAGATACTTCAGCTTGCTTTTTGAGTTCACTTTGTAATTGCAGCAGGGCTGCACTGAAAATACTAAGTCAGCAAATCTGCGTTTTTCACTGCTGATACAGATTATACAGACGCCTGCCCTTTTGAAATGCCTTTTATGAAACATATGTACACAGTCCTCCACTGTTACTATACATAACTACATTTCTGAGGAAGGAATTTGACAGCAGATTGCTAATCCAAGGAATTTTTGAACAACTACTCACTTATGTATTGCTGTAGTGCACAGGAAAGTAAAATGGACTATAAGCGGCGCTTTTTGCTAGGCGGGTCCAAGCAAAAAGTGCAGCAACACCAGCAGTATCAAATGCCTGAGCTAGGCAGGACCCTGAGCGCACCGTTGGCATCTACTACCCCGGCTTCCCCTTTGGTCTCCTCAGCTGCTGCAGGCAGCTGCAACCACCCTGTGTCCCATACTACTCCGATTGCAGACATCCAGCAGGGAATCTCCAAATATCTGGATGCACTCAATGTGTTTTGCCGTGCGAGCACTTTCCTTACAGACCTTTTCAGCAGTGTATTTAGGAACTCACACTATTCAAAGGCAGCTATGCAACTGAAAGACGTGCAGGAACATGTCATGGAAGCAGCGAGTCGGCTCACGGCAGCAATAAAACCAGAAATAGCAAAAATGCTGATGGAGCTGAGTGCTGGAGCTGCAAACTTCAAAGATCAAAAGGAATTCAGCCTACAGGACATTGAGGTAAGTTACCATAGATAATGATATTTTGCATGTGAAGTTTCTTGACCCCTTCTTTATTGCACTTATCATTGTAAGACCAGTCCCACCACCACTGTACCAAAGGTGTACCGCCTTCTGCTTTTTACCTTTCCTGACAATGCTTTCCAAAATAAAAAGGAGGACATTTATAAACATTTTTATTTTCAAAATTTAAAAGGAGGAAAACATGGTAAAGAAATTTGTAGTGCATAATTTTGTGATACATTAAATTGCATATTGAATATTTTTTCCTGTGCCAGCTAATCATTTAAAAAAAGAATTGCATTACATGTGTAAGATGTTTATCAACTAGAAAAAGTAAACTTTGTCTCTTCAGTTACACTAATTTTGAGCTGTATGAGAACCATGTCGAAGTCATTTTGTTAAGAAAATATACTACTGTCTGCTTTATTTCCCCAGTATCATTGTTCTGTCAGGAGTAACAAATTGTGCTTTATTCATGGAGAAACTGTTCACATGCATGACTTTTTAGTGTGTTTGTGTGTGAATGATCATTCAGTTACTGAGACATTTTTAAGAGACATCAATGACATATAGATATGTTTGTTTATTATTTAGTTTTGAATAATAAAGATCCCTATACAAGTCTCTTGGCTTCCTAATATGTAATCAGTAATATAACAAAAATCCCAGCAGCCTATAAAATAATTCAAACAGGAACTCAGCCAGCCAGCCACCTAGAAAAAAAATGCTTCTGCTCCCTTCATCTCTTTGGGAAGCATACCCATAATCTCCAAAAACAGCATGAAAAAAGTAAAAATATTTTTTAAAATAGGTTACAGATCGGAATTCTATCGTTAAATGGAGAAAATCATTTGTGATTTAAGAAAATATTTAACTATACAGGGTGACTTAACTTAAACATTGTGTATTTTTAAACCAACCATCAGTAAAATGAATCCTATAAAGGAAAAAAGTGTGAACTAGTATTTCTAATGACATACTGTCTCAAAGAGAGACAGTACCGTATAAGTTACATTGTATTTTATTTACTGCCTCTTATTGACGTGGGCTGTTGGTAAGACTGTGAAAAGGGATTATCATAGTTACTTGATTTAAATTATAATATATACACATTAGTCTGTAGTAACTGTAATCTGAACTAATTTAAGACAAAATTTTGGGCATTGGTATATTTAAAAATAAGTATTTAAACTTTGTAGTCTTTATGAGAGCTGTCTGTATGTGCTCTGTAGTGTTCTCAGTGGTGGCAGATGACAGAACAAGAAGCAATGGTCTCAAATTGCAGTGGGGGAGGTCTAGGTTGGATATTAGGAAAAACCATTTCACTAGGAGGGTGGTGAAGCACTGGAATGGGTTACCTAGGGAGGTGGTGGAATCTCTGTCCTTAGAGGTTTTTAAGGCCTGGCTTGACAAAGACCTGACTGGGATGCTTTGAGCAGGGGGTCGGACTAGATAACCTCCTGAGGTCTCTTCCAACCGTAATCTTCTATGATTCTATATTATTGTTAGCATTTATGAGCTGCCTATTGTAGTATTTGGATTCACCAGCTTCGGCTAGAAAGCAAAATTAGTGCTTGTATGATGTTTGTATTACAAAACATGTACATCATGTTGGTACAAATTCTGTACAAAAAGTTATGGGAAATTTGGGTGCACCAACCAAAACCAAAAGTCAGAATTGTTAGTTACAATGGAATGCTCAACCATAACTCTCTGTTTGCATTGTAACACAGTTTTAAATGACATGATTGCACAGAATTTTAAAAAATGTAATAAACAAGTGCCTCTCTAATCTTAGGATACAAATTTTGAATTTTATTTTATGCTTGTACTAATTTCATTATAGTCATTGTCTAGGACAGCAGTTCTCAAAATGTGGGTCACGACCGCGTTTTAATGTGGTCGCCAGGGCTGGTGCTAGACTCGCTGGAGCTCCAGACTGAAGCCGAAGCCCAAGCAAGTCCAGGGCCGGCATTAGACTTGCGGAGGCTCAGGCTGCGGCTTCAGGGCTGAAGTCCTCGGGCTGTGGCTTCCGCTACGTGTTTGTGTGTGTGTGTGGTCGTGTAGTAATTTTTGTTGTCAGAGGGGCGTCGTGGTGCAATGAAGTTTGAGAACCATTGGTCTAGGAGATTTTTAATAACTCAAGATGTCAAATAATTTTGTTAGCTACATTGTACTATACACTACCTTTTCAAATAGCCTTCTGTAGGTACGCTTTAGGAGATAAAGCAGTTAACAGTAAAGCTAATTGATCTGAGAAATTTAGCTTATAATATTCCAGCAAACTTCCACTGTTACTATGGTTTATATACTTTATTGTCTTTATTGTCTGTTGTGTACCAGTCTAAGATTGGTTTACTATACACTTGTCATATAAATGCTTTTCACGGACTCTGATTTTCTTGCCACACACAGTAGAACACACTACTGCACATGTCTGTCTAGTGTTTTCCACAATCTTATTTTCTTTTGTACTCTTTGAGGAATAGTATTGTGATCATGTAATTAAACACTACCTCAATGCGTATGCAAAATAGGGCAAGTTTTCTAAAAGAAAAAATAAAGGAGCTTCACTCTCCCAGACTTAGAAGCTCTGTTGTCCTGTCACCTGGGGAGAATCCTTTTTTTGTGAGCCTCAGTCTCTGCAATGCTTCTGACTTGTACTAAAGCAGGACTCCCTCTTACTCACCTTGCACAGGGCCCATCAACTCTTAGCTCCTTGCATCTTACAAGGTCTTCAGAGGTTTGGCTTGGGCTTCAGCCCCATGTCGCCTGCATTAAACTATTAGGTAGCTAAATTAGCACTCAGACCCTAGGCAGTGCTGCCTTCATTAGCTGCACTAGTCATAAATTTAGTGAGAAGATGTGCAGAATACACTATTTTCAAATGTTCATAACTCAGTCAAATCAAACCAATTTTTACTGGAACACTCATATACCACAAGCCAAACTGAACTAGAGCTAACCTTCATACCAAATTTAAACTTCGTCTACAGACTCCTTTAAACATTAAAGTTGTCTTATTTTTAAAATTGCAAGAATTTTGGCTTAATGCAACAAGTGTTTCACTCTGCTTTTGCTCAATATGGGTTGAGTTGGTTTTGCTAAAACTTTTTTTTTTTTTTTTTAATTACCCCTTCAGGCATAGAGAGAACATGGAAAATTCTAGTGTGGAAAGGTAAAAGTTTCCTGAAAATATGTGTAGGATTTGAAACCCCACTCTGTTGTTCATCCAGGGGGAGTAGAAAAACTGGATGGGCTAGCTGCCTGAGTCCAGCTGAGGATTCACTAGCTCGATTTTTAGAGGGAAAGGAGGAAGAAAGGAGCAGAGCATGACAGGCACCATTTCCTTCAAGGGTGGGAGAGCAGTGCACAGTGTTTGAGGATACTGCTTTTCCTGGATATAAGGGAGTAGCAAACAGCAGAACAGTCCACCCATGTGGAAGAGCATTTGGATGCAGAGGGCCTACTGCATGTCCAGGGGGGTGGCAGCCCCAGAAGAATCCTCTTCCAAAGAGGTCCCCAAATTATCACATATGGGGGACTATGGGGAAAAATAATTTGGGGGTAACCCAGAATTTATTAACATGGTGTGTGAGTTGATTTTATTTGACGGAGAAGGAAGGAGGAGGATGTGTTTTGAAGGGAAATGAAGATGAGGCAATGTAAGTGGAATAGTCATGGCTTTGGTGGGAGGGATGCAGCCTTGGTGTATTTTTATCTGGGCTCGTATGCTTTGACCTCAGGATAGCAGGTGTTGAGGACACTTTTCAAGTCCTGATTAACATCAGCTGATTTGGGTTAGAATGAAAACAAATGTAGCTATAATTATAGCAATCATTGCCAATCCCACTGTAATAAATTATTTCTGGCAGAATGTGAATTGCTTAGTCATAATGAGTTTAATGTATAAAAGGGGGTAACTTCTCCTGGTCCAGTTATTGGTGAGACACTGTGAGCATGCACATTTTGTGTCTAGCTTCTTTACTTTCATAACTGCAAATGCTGAATCTCCCCCCTCCTCCTTCAAAAAAATCAAACCAAAATTCTTAAGAGTCTTGCGCCTTTGGTGGTGAGAAACAGATTGTATTGAAAGAGGAAGGAAATCAAGGGAAATTACTGTATATATTTATGCTCCTTAAGTTCCCACTTCTCTTCCCTTAAGCCCTAGTAGCATGGAACAGTGCACTGAAATTGGATTTCTGTTGATTGTCAGAATAAAAAAAAAAAAAACATGTTAAAAGC